TTTTTTTTTTTTTTTTTTTTTTTTTTTTTTGCAGCAGGAAAGAGGAACTTTTTTCCCCTGGCGTTAAGGGTTGCCCATATTCAGAAAGGACCTTTAGCTAAAAATTCCATACATATTTTGTCAGAGACAGTGACTCTTTCAGGACTTCCAGTAGAAAATAGAACCTTGGAAAGAGTGAAGAATGGGGATCCGGCTTCGGTGGAGAGGTGTGGATGGAGCAATAAGAAATATTTTGTCATTTTCAGAACATCTGTTTGGTGGGGGAGGTGAGGGAGGTAGGAAATAGCACTAGGTGCAAACTCTGTAAGAAAACGAGTTTCTCTCACAAAGGCATACAGGAGACTCTTACACCAAAATTTGGGAGGTTGGAGGCCAAGAACCTGCCTGTCTGAGGAATTCCTCCGTATGGTCTGGTGGATCCAGAAACAAAACCAGCCTCCTTCCAGGGGGATGGGAGCGAGCAAACCCACTTAAGTACTCTGGTGGGGAAGCCCCAGCCTTTCTGAAGGAAGGCTTCACACGGGTGGCAAGAGGAAAGCCATGAGCACACCAGCGTTTCTGCTGCTTGTGGAGAAGAAAATGTTTCCCCCAAAACATTTAGACTGGATGCCGCTTATCAGTGCCATCGTGGTCATGGAATTAATGGTCCCTTCTCTTTTTGAGAAAGACAAATGAACACCGGAACTTGAGCTATCAAGTGTGACTGTCTTTCTCTCTGGTCCCAGGGAATGTAAACCAATGGAGATAACAGGGCGATTGTTAGACGAGGCTCGTCAGCGGCATTCAGGAGGCAGAGTCTGGGCCTGGAGTCCTCTTTCTTCCACGCGTGCAGCTGTTCTGTGCCAGCCTCTTAATGGTAGGGCAGATATAAATGTGCGTGTGTGTGCGATGGCCCCGCTCACCTACCGTCGCTCTGTCCTCCAGGTGGCAGCTAAGCAGGCCGCAGCCGCCGCCACACAGACCATCGCCGCCTCCCAGAACGCGGCCGTGTCCAACAAGAACCCCGCCGCCCAGCAACAGCTGGTTCAGAGCTGCAAGGTGAGGTTGCAGCCGCCCGAACACCAGATCTGCTGGAGACCCCCCTGATAGCATTACAAGGCCACGCGCCCAGATAATTCAGTTAAGACTAATCATCTGGGCCCCTAATGCAGTTTGCTCCAGCTCCTGTGTTCCAGGTACACACACATGCACGCACACACACACACACATCTGGTTTTTGTCTCATAAGTGGATGCCCTCTGTTTGGAAGGAGAGTATGATGCTTTTTCCAGCATTGTCTTTCCTTTGCCTAGATTTTCTTTCTTTTCAAGAGACCGAATCAAGGAGGATCAATGACCAGGCCATTTTAGGGCTCTGCAATAGTAATGAAGCATTGAATTTCCAGAGTGCCTCTTTCCCCGTGAGAGGTGGGCCTTCAGCTTCAGTGCTTGCTGGGAGGAGAGTTGATTTCCTGCTTTGCACCGATGGCACCCTAAGGATTGATGTTACCCTATCTGGCCTCAGTGATGATGTGCTTCGGGGCTTTCTGTTGTTGCATGTTTTTTTCTGAGACCCGGGCCTTGATGGCATGTTCACTCCAACGTATTGCAAAGGGTACAGTGAATACCTTTGTTGCCACTTCTGAGGGCCCAGGGGGTCTGCTCTCCCAGGAGACCCCTGAAAGGTGTCAGACACGACTTGGAATTGCATAGCTACTGCCCTTGTGTTGGCAGTGTGCCTGACGAGAGTCTCCCAAAGGTCTTTGCAGTGAGCAGCGGGGGCTGGGTGGGCAGGTGTACTTGTGTTAAGGTTCTGGGAGTTGACTGCGCTCTGTCTGCTTTTTCACGTCTCCTCTGTGAAACGGTTCACCTGTGAGTGGTGTCGCCATTTCCACCTCAGAAATGCCTTTGCTTCTGAGAACCACCCAGAGCCCTCCACGTCCTGAGTCTAGGTTCTCTGAGGCCAGCCCCTCACCAAGAAGCGAATGTACTCTGGCAGAGAAGTCTCAGCACTGGAGTAAGGCCCTGTCCTCGGGACTGTATGCAGAAAGCTGGGGTTTTTCTGTGAGTCAGGCCCCCACAGAGGAGGAGAGGGTGTTTTCTGTTAGAGCCTCAATTCAGCCGCCAGCGTGGGTGACAAAACCCTTCTTCACGAGCGCTTGCTCCTCATGTCCAGGAAAATACTACAGGATGAAACACCCCCCGCCCCTTTTTGCGGAGACTGAAGATACTCAGTGTCTGTCTATCACTGTCAGGAAGGAAATCACTGTTGATCAGCTTGCAGTGCAGAGGGGAGAGGGGACCAGACTCTGGGAGCCAGCAATCCTCAAGAGGATCTGAGGAAAATCTCTGGGAAATATTTGTTTTAACCTTTGCTGGAATGGGTTCAAAAAAAAAAAAATAGGTCGCCAGACTGGGGTACACTTGGGACCTTCTTCAGCAGTAGTGGTCACTGTGTGCTCTGACCTTTGAGGACCTGGTCGGTCAGATGAGGAGTGCTCACTGAGGAGAAAACCCAGAAAAGGTAGTAGGCTGGTCTCCTAGGGCATTGTGGGAAATTGTTTCTTGAAGTGGTCTCACCTCAGAAACTGCTGCTTCTTCCTCCACCCTGGGCATTGGGGTTTCCAGTTTGAGAATTGAGAGGGCTACTTAATCAAAGAAGACCCATGGTGGCAATGAAAGGTGATGGACAGAATGCATCCCTGCTAAGTGAGGAATCAAAGCACTGACCTATGCTGGCACTTGAGTAGTTCTCTTAGTTTCTTCTCGTTGGACAATGTGACTTGGGTTTCTCTGCCTGTGAATTGTAGAGACTTTTTGATCCTTGGCTGTTAAGCTTTATAAGTGGTCATTAGCCACATTGGTATTAGTTGCAAGTGGGCAAATGCTTTTAAGACCACCTTATAGAGATTCGTACCGTGCCTAAAGGTATGAGGAGCTGAGAGTCGAGCGTGTGTGGGAAACAGCTACCCAGAGGCACTGGGTTAGGATTCGTTGTTGGTAAGGACCCAGCTAGCTTAAAAGTGCTAGGTAAATCCAAGGCTTGTGATAAGCATTGCTCACATGGAATAGCGCATCCCCAAAACATCCATCACTGGTGTCATTTTCCACCCTTTTTTGGTAATTCGCTGTGCCGAGTGTGCTGTTTTAATTTTCCTTGCTTCCTATAGGCAGTGGCTGATCACATCCCTCAGCTGGTCCAGGGGGTGAGAGGAAGCCAAGCCCAAGCTGAAGACCTTAGCGCCCAGCTGGCTCTCATCATCTCCAGCCAGAACTTCCTCCAGGTAACAGGAGCATTCGCCTTGGTCACACTCAGAGTCCCCCATGGAGGTAGGAGGTGCCCTTAATCCTTAAGGAGAAGAATTACCCCGTGTCACAGCCACAGAGAAGTTTTTGCAGTAAGCAGACCTTGGAAGGCCTTTCCTTTGAATTTCCATTTTCAGGAGAGGTGGATTTAGCTTGGCAAAGCAAAATGCTAATATGCAGGGAAATTGCCCTGGGAGATAGCCCATAATCCATTTTTCTTGGGAGGCTCATCTTTATTTCTCCTCTGTGAGGGAAAACATGTAATAAGTTGCAAGTGTTGTTGCACAGCCTGGTACTAGATATAGCTCGAAGTTTGCCGGTTTCCAGAGAGTCTAATGCTATTATCCATGTACAAGGAAAAAAGAAGTGTTGAGTGCATCTTCTCTGAAGTTGCGATCTTTTCGTATGCCGATTGTACAATTAGTTAAGTGTCGGCAGTCTTTGTGGGCTAAGGGGTAAATTCATTTTACAGAAAACAAAATGAGAAAAGTTGTGGGAAAACTCCCTCTTTACCTACTTCTTGTCTTCAAATCCCTCAGCACTTCTGTCTGCTTGTATCTCTCGAACAGTTCCAGTGATCAGGCGATGTTCTTCCCTGTCCCTTTCTAGTTGAACCTGTCACTACAGGACCCAGTGATACATCTGTTGGGTTAATTTTTCAAGTGTCCTGACTCCAACATGCAGAGACAGAACGCGAAAGTTTTAATGTTATTTCCTCACGTTATACCTACATGCAGACATACGTATTTTATGTATACATTTTTTAATTGGGATTTATTGTGTATAGACTCTTTGATTTTCATGTTAACATTTATATTATGAGCATTTAGCATACAGCTATGGCTCTCCTTTGTTTAGCTATTTTATCACCCCTAGGCATACAGGTTGTTTTCAATTATTTGCCATCATAAACAACCTATGATAGGATAAAGGTCTTTATTTGCGCTCTACCTTTGTACCCATGTTGAATTATTTCCTAAGGATAAATTCCTACAAGTAGGATTGCCAATGGCTTATTTTTATCTTTGGGACATTGAGAATTGTGACTTGGACAGGTGCTTACCTTTTCATTCAGATGGTTGGAGGGCCTGGAGCCAGTTGTATTGTCCCCACTGCGGGCAGGCTTCTAGGGTAGTATGATAGAGCCATGTAGACATGTTCCAGGGCCCACTCTATCGCCGCTCTTAGATTTCCTTTTTCTTTCGTTCTTTGAATTTTGCTATCATAGACACATCACATAGTTACAAAAATAAGGCAGAGTTAGAAATAAGTAGAAATGGGGGCACCTAGGTGGCTCTGTTGGTTGTGTCTGACTTCTGCTCAGGTCATGATCTTGCCGTCTGTGAGTTTGAACCCTGTGTCAGGCTCTGCTGACAGCTCAGAGCCCGGAGCCTGCTTCAGATTCTGTGTCTCCCTCTCTCTGTGCCCCTACCCTGCTCACACTCTGTCTGTCTGTTTCCCTCTCTCTCAGAAATAAGTAAATATTAAAAATTAAAAAAAAAAAAAAGAAAGAAGTAGAAATAGAATTGACCAGAAAGTTGCTACATGTTCAAGTTCATTCACACGTGTTGTAAAATTGTCTTTCTGGAAGGCTGAATGCATCCAAATTTCCATGTAGCAGTACGTGGAGCACATTTTCCAATACATCTTTTCCACGTTGGGAATTCAAGCATTTAAAAAATACTTCGTTGACAATTTCTCAGTGAAGTTCTTACCATCTGATTTTTGCATTTCCTTGATAGTCACAATGCTAAATATTTCATGTTCCAGTTGTTATTATGTGAAGTTATCTACTCACATCTCAGGCTGGGCTTTTTTTTTTTAAGTTTTTTTTTT